TCGTTTGTGTGGTCGATCGAAGATGTAACACAGTGGCATCACAATGCATCTTATATATGCTCGGGTATCACACTGTGTCTTTCGTTTAACAGACTCAATATTTTTAGGTATCACAGTGGTATCACCAGAGGACGGTGGCCGGAGGACGGAGGATGGTGGCCGGAGGACGGAGAGAGAAGAGAGGAGAAAAAATACCTAAAATGTCCTTGCATTAAAATTTTAATTCAAAATTACCAAAATTATAAATTTACTAATTTATCTATTGATTTGTGGTTGAGATTGGATCTTACGGTTACCACAAACTAGTCAGTTCTTTCTTGAATAGGCCCCTATATATATATATATATATATATAGATATATATATAGATATATATATATATATATATATATAGACTTGGGATCATGTGAGCCCAACCTGTTTTCGTGAGACCCATGAGACCATTTTTTTACACTTGAAACTTCACAGTAAAATGCTGTAAAGGTAACCTTCACAGTGTTTTTGCTGTGAAGATTCATATTTTTTTTACCTTCACAATGTTTTTGCTGTGAAGTTTCAAATGTAAAAAGGTGATCTCACGGGTCTCACGAAAACAGACTGGTCTCATGTGAACCCAACCCTATGTATATATGTGCACATATATATACATACATACTAGTCACCTTTCTTTTGAACGGTATGAACATGTGCATACTGGTAATTGAAGATGTTTTGTAGCACCCTGTTCCTGAGACTGAAAAGGAGGTTACGTTCGAACTTAAAAGAAACTGTCAACAAAAGCATACAGAGCGTTATTAAACCATATTTAAATAATAAACACCATTTAAAAAAAATTAACAATTGCCTCGAATGATAACACTTTTTTTTCAAAGCTTGCTTCTCAATGATAATAAGCCTACAAATATGAAACGAACCTCTTAATAGCTAGATACTCTTAATCTAAAAGAAGTTGGACCGAAAAGCACAATTTTAATTTGCTTAATCAAGCCATAACAAAACGAATATACGCAAATTTATTGTACCCAAATAGTAAATCTTGTCAAAGTTCAAACAACTGTCAAATCAAAACAACTATTGTCAAATAAATACCAAACGAATCTGAGAAGCTTAAATCAAAATCATATACCGAGCTCGAACAAATAATCGCATACGCTTGCGTTTCATGTCACACATAGAAAGATACAACAATTGTCATACATAAGCCACACAGGCACGTACATTGGACATGCACATCCAACTGTACTAAATAATGTGAGATGAGCGATCAAATGAAACCACCTAATTTGTACAAACCGTGCAAACCACCGTCATCCGTCGATTTCATTGTTTAATCTTATGAAAAAATTTCATGAAATTGTTTAATGTTATGAAACTGTTTCATATAATACTATTTTTTGATAAATTTGTTTCATATATGGTTATGAAATTGTTTCATATAATACTTAATGGAATTTTAATAAAATTGTTTCATGTATTTCTCTAAAATTAAAATAATGAAGAAGATAATATCCATGATTAACACCCTCCACAATAAAAATGATTAATCAACCTCTCATAATTCAAAAAAAATATGAACAAAATGAAAAATTATGATTAAAGTTTGTATGAGTTGTACAAATAACGTGGTTTGCAAAGTAAATCCCCCCCCCCCTCTCTCTCTATACATACACATACACACACACACACACACACACATATATATATATAGGGGCATATTCAAGGGAGAACTGAGTTGTTTGTGGTAACTGTGAGAACCAATATTAACCACAAATCAATAGATAAATTAGGAAATTTATAAATTTGGTAATTTTAAATTAAAATCTTAATGCAAGATATTTTTGGTATTTTAAAACTCTCCCCTCTCCTCTCTTCTCTCTCTGGCCACCGTTCTCCAGCCTCCGGCCACCGTCCACCGGTGATACCACTATGATACCACTGTGATACCTAAAAATATTGACTCTGTTAAACAAAAGATACATTGTGATACCTAATCATATATAAGACGCATAGTGATATCACTGTGTTACATCTTCGATCGACCACACAAACGACATCAATGTGATACCCAAGCACATATATGATGCATTGTGATACCATTGTAGTATCACCGGCGGACGGTGGCCGGAGAGAGAAGAGAGGAGGGAGGAAAGTTTTAAAATAACAAAAATATCCTTGCATTAAAATTTTAATTCAAAWTTGCCAAAATTATAAATTTCCTAATTTATCAATTGATTTGTGATTAATATTGGTTCTCACATTTACCACAAACTAATTAGTTCTCATTTGATTAGGCTCCTATATATATATATATATATATATATATATATATATATATATATATATAGGGTTGGGTTCACGTGAGACCAAGAGTTTTTCGTGAGACCCGTAACACCAATCTATATTCATTGATCAACTTTATAAGTTAATGATCTAATGGTCTAAAGTTGCACAATGGAAATTTTGTAATTATTGAGAAGTCTCGTGGCGTTTATGAATGTTCAGATCTAACGATTGTAAATCTAATCCAAGGGTTGAGAATTGGTCTTACGGGTCTCACGAAAAACCATTGGTCTCACATGATCCCAAGTCTATATATATAGGGGTCTATTCAAGGGAGAACTGACTAGTTTGTGGTAACCGTGAGATCCAATCTTAACCACAAATCAATAGATAAATTAGAAAATTTATAATTTTGGTAATTTTTAATTAAAATTTTAATGGAATGACATTTTAGGTATTTTCTCTCATCTCTCCTCTCTTCTCTCTCCGTCCCCGTCTTCCGGCTACCGTCCTCCGGCCACCGTCATCCGGTGATACCATTAATACTCAAGCACATATAAGATTTATTGTGATACCACTGTGTTACATATCCGATCGACCACACAAATGACCACAGTGTGACCACAGTGGTATCACCGGAGGACAGTGGCCGGAGGCCAGAGGACGGAGGCCGGAGAGAGAAGAGAGGAGATAGGAGAGAGGAGAGAAATTACCTAAAATGTCCTTGCATTAAAATTTTAATTAAAAATTACCAAAATTATAATTTTTTTAATTTATATATTGATTTGTGGTTGAGATTGGATCTCACGGTTACCACAAACTAATTAGTTATCATTTGATTAGGCCCCTATATATATATATATATATATATATATATATATATATATATATTCTTAAAAACCTTACAATTCAATATCATAACCAACAAATGAAGGCAACCCCAATCATCTCATATGAATGTGCAATCACCTCTATCCTGTACTAAACATCCTAAATAATAGAATATAATCTATATGCAATATTAATATATTATATAGTTAATGAAGGTTATCTGTAGTTTTAAAAGTATACTGATAATCAGTAAAACAGTCTCAAATCCAAGAAAGTTTGGAGCATATGCATAAAGTTTATAAAAGGTACATCAGAATCCTACAAAATACCTTAAATTTAATTTTATCTAAAACTAAAAT